GGCGGCGGCGGCGCGGGGGCCCAGGTCATCGCCGTGCCCATGTCTCCCCAGCAAAGCGGTACTGCAAGAACGCCAGCCCCAGCAGCAGCAGCACCAGCAGCTACGCGCCCAGCAGCAGCAACATGAGCTGCGGGGGCGGCAGCAGCGCGAGCAGCACGTGCAGCAAGAGCAGCTTCGACTACGCGCACGACGTGGAGGCGGCGCACATGGCCGCCACGGCCATCCTCAACCTGTCCACGCGCTGCCGCGAGATGCCGCAGAACCTGTCCACCAAGCCGCAGGACCTGTGCGCCGCGCGGGTACGCCCGGGGCCGGGGGGGTGGTCCCGAGCCCCCGCGCGGGCATTCAGCGGACGCCCCCCGGGGCGCACCTGCCGCTGGGGCCGCGGGCACGGCTGTGCGGGGAGCGTCCCGCCCGGACGACGGGCTTGTAGCCAGGGCTGCTGTCAGGCCTGTGGGAGAAGACGTGGGGGGGACCCTGCTCCTTAGGATCCAGGGTCGCTTCTGTAAACAGAGCACAGCCGGTGCCCTCAGGGAGCCTCGGACGGCAGCACGGACGGCAGCGGGCGCCTGGAACCCCAAGCACGAGGGGGGCGCGTGGCCCCGCCGTCAAGCAAAGCGCAGGGCGGCCCCCAGCTCCCAGCTGGTCGCTCAGTGTCGGGGAACAAAAAGTAGAAATCCGATTTCCGCCCGACTGTCACGCCATTCTGGCCAGCTCTCGTTAGTCCAGAAACCTCAGAGGTGCTGACACGGCGTCCGGGTCTGTGGAGGCCTCTGCCTTGCTTTTCTGTGAATGGACTCGTTGCTCCCGCGGGAGCCGGACAGCGGGTCAGAGCCGGAGGGAGCTGCCCCGCTGGGGCCGCTCGGGGGTCAGGGCCGCCGGTGGGGCGCATGGCCTGTGAGCTCAGAGGGCGTGTGGGCAGCCAGACCTGGTCCCTCACCTCCTCGCCAGAAAACAGAGGGACTGCATTTCTAGAGCTGCCTGGCCATGGGCACCAGGAGCTCACAGCCTCACAACAAGCTCATTGCTTGTTCTAAGTAATTGTAATTTGTGTGAATGGAGAAAGGTCAGGCATTTTATGCTTTGCACCTGCTTTCTTTTCTATTAATATTTTTGTTCCTAGATTTTTAGAGACATGTCAGGGGCATGCAATTTCGTGGTGGTCAGGGCCGCTAAAATCCAAGGCTAGCATGGAAGAGCTTCTGTGGCAAGGGAAAAAAAGAAAGCCACCCCTTCCCATTTTTCCTTCACTTTATTAAAGCCAAGACTGAGATAATTAAGTCCAACGTGACGCAGGCTAAATGAGTGTGAGAGCTTGAAAGCAGGCGAGCTCCCTGACCGGAGGAGCTCAGGCAGAATAATGCTCTGTCGTGTCTCAGGCTAAGAGCCTGCGTGGGGCCTCCGTCCCCAGCAGCTGCCCTCTGCTGTTACATCCAGAGGAGGGAGCTGCTAGACATTTGGGGAGGCAGCAACTTTCACGCCAGCTCTGAGATCAAATTTTTGCTCGAGAAACTGTAACTCTCCGGGAACAGAAGTGGAGGGCTGTTCGCAGTATTTCCTGCTCTGTCCTCCATGTGTCCTTCCTTGCCTCCCTCCTCCTGAGAGGCAAGCTCTGAAGACTTCTTCATCTGTTTGAGAGCATCATTTAAAAAAAAACAAACAACAACAACAAAAAAAGTCACCCAGTACCGCTTTATTGTTTTAAGCCAGTAGGCTGAATTGCACGTTTGCTGAAGCACAGAGTAGTCAGACCGTACTCACTGCTTGAACTGTGATTGCACACCCCCCTCCCTTAAAACAGAAAACGCTCTTCATCACAGGATTTCGTGTGCAAAGTGAATTCTGGCTGCTTCTCCTTCATCCCGCCGTGCCTCTGCCTCGTCTGTTCCCCCCCTCTCCCCTTCTCGAAGTATCCACCTCAGTGAAACTGAAAGACGATTGTTAAGCATAAACACACATCTATCTCTGATCTCTTAAACGTTATTTGAGCTGGAATAGAGTTGAGATTAGGCACTCGTTTGATTTTCTTCTGGTGAGGCTTATTTCTAAAAGCAGGAGATGTATTTCAGAGAAAAGAAGATAAAGATGGTGGTAAATACACGGTAGATATGTGAGATGGATAGGTAAGAGACAGATGGATAGACCGATTATAGTCATCAGCAGGTGAATAGACACATGCACCTGCCATCCAGTGTTGCGGCCGGGCGCGGGCCAGCAGACATGTCCCAAAGGACCGCTTCTGCTCTCCTCGGGAGCCCATGCACGGGAGACCGCAGGAGGAATCCGCGTTTGGATTCTGCACTGGCTGAAGGCAGGGCTGCAGCTGGGGGTGGGGCTGCGTCGTTACCATGTCTTTCTGTCCAGCAGAACCCTGACATGGAGGTGGACGAGAACGGGACTCTGGACCTCAGCATGAACAAGCCACGGCCACGGGAGAGCTGCTGCCCGGTCCTGACGCCCCTGGAGCCCATGTCCCCCCAGCAGCAGGCAGTCATGGGCAGCCGGTGCTTCCAGCTGGGAGAGGACGACTGCTGGGAGCTGCCCGTGGACTACACCAAGATGAAGCCTCGCAGGGCCGACGGGGGTGACACCGCCGAGGTCCCTGTACGTCCCCTCTCGCTGCCTGCCGGCTCGGGGCATGGGGGCGGGCATCCGTGGGCTCCCTTAGTATGACCTCAGCCGATGAGGGCTGACCAGGGAGAGATTGGTCACTAACGCTGATTAGGTAAAACAAACCACAGACTCTTTTCAATGATGAATTTTATTTTCTAACAAGTGTGTTTTGTTACCAGTGATTTCTCTAAGAAAATATATAGACAGCAAGCCAGTCCGTTTTCCTGGGTGACATATTGATATGAGGCATGATTCTCCTTGCAGATAGGGAATTATGACATCTTCAGTACTTAAATGGTTAACTATGAGCTTTTAATTAGCTAGCCCCTTGAAGCTAAAGATAGTGTCTGTTCTCAGAGAAACCCAAAATATTCAGAAGAATGTACTCCAGCCCTGAAAAAAACCATTTTAGCACTATCACCTAAATCTTTGTTGAGCACAATATTACCAAACAACCAATGTCAAGAACATATTTTTGAAGTGAAGATCTCCCCTGTGATCCGAAAATAGAGCTTTCCTGTGGAAACCCTCCTAAGCTAAATGGTGTGATTAATTAATTTATGTAGAAAATATTTTGAGTGTTCCCAGACCCCAAAAATCACCTCTCAGGTTTTGATTTTCTGAACCTTAGGACACACCTTGCTAACGGATGCACAGATAACCTGAGACCAAGCCCAGATGCTCTCAGACACAGCGCAGAGCTCTGGAGCTGGATGCTGAGAGGCTGAGCATGGTTTCGGGGGCAGGCGCGTGGCGGGGCCGCTCCGGATGCTCAGGGTGCCCCCGTGCTCCACAGCTTGCCGCAAAACCACAAAACCAGCACTGAACACTGTTTGTGCTTCTTGACTTTTTTTTGTAAAAGCAAAAATCCTCTTTGGGTTTCTTTCTTAGCAAAAGCAGGTCTTTCAAAAGAGCGAAGTGGCATGTGTCGTGAGCTTTCGAAAAGTGGGGGTCACCTGTAGTTACAACGTTCACATTCAAGTTGCTAAAATAGTTAAAATATCCTCTAGGCTAAGAAAAGAAAATGAAGAAAAGGTTGTTCTTTATTGTACTGGCTTTTTCTCCTGTGTTCAATTCTGAAAATTATGACACCTTCTTTATTCACTGAAAAATGAAAATCCTTTTTGAATACAATAGGGAGACCACCATCAAAGCAATAGCTTTTTACAGAAACAAGGAAGGGCAGAAAAAGGGAACATTAGCTATTTGTAGGAATTGGCAGGAAAGGCACCTGGTTATAAGGCCATTACATGTTAAAGCCTATTATCTTTATTCTTCAAATTGATTTAAGTATCCAGGCATTGCAAAAGAATAGAATCTAAGTGGCAAGGTAAATTCCAAAGTATTCTTTTCTCTCCTATAGTGTTAAGTCATTGCTACCAAATAAGGCATGGTGGTTGAGTCTCTGATTTTATTTTAATTAAAATTAAGCTCTCATAAATCGACAGAAGTGTTTTCATCATACAGACTGTCCCCCAAGTAAGAAATGCTCTCCTGCCTTCAGGAGACACATCTGCTGAGTATCACCATCTATAGGAGTTCCTTAGTTACTGCACTGGGACCCACTTAACCAGAGTAGACACTTCCTATTAAAAAAGGAAATGCTGCATAAGAATAATTGAGAGCTACAACATTAAGCTCAGACGGTCTTCCCTTGCCTTGGGCCCTAAGGCACACATGCAGAATGCTCCCCGGTGGCTGGTAAAAGCCTCATTCTAAAATGCCTCTAAGGTTCATGGTTGAGCTTTGCAGGTCAGCGTTGGGTAAGAGTATTGTAACACCAGCAGGTGCTTCCCGGACACTGAATCAGAAAGACCAACCAAGAAACGGTGTCTCTGGTTTCCAAACCAGTTGTCTGTTCCCCTTATAAGTACCCCCACAGAAATACTGACTAAGGCGCTGCCCACTGACAGGGATGAACTTAGAAGTTTAGAACAGTTGATGAGAAACTAAGGTCCACTCTGAAAAAGATGCTCTTTGAACAGCGTCCAGCTTTGCACTTTCAGAAGGGGCTTCACCAGGACAAAGATGGGGAATGATTTTAAAGGCACAGGGTGTTGGAAGAGGAGGAAAGTGCAGAGGCGGCTGGCCCTCTGGGGGCCGCGTCTGTGGTCTGTGTGGGGCGCTGTCCCCTGTGCGGCCCTGAAGCTGTGTTTTGCCTGCAGCCGGAAGACTTGGACCCATTCCAGGAGGCTCTGGAGGAGAGAAGGTACCCAGGAGAGGTGACCATCCCCAGCCCCAAGCCCAAGTACCCCCAGTGCAAGGAGAGCAAGAAGGACTTAATAACGTAAGCATACCTCGAGGTGAAACAGCTGCCCTTCCTAACCTCCCTTCCTTTGGCTTATTTTTAAAGACCGATCTGTACATGCCTTGCCGTTTGAGCATGCGACGTCCGCAGCACATAACTGTCTCGAGCTGCCGGTTCCGTGGAGCGGGGGCCCGCGTGGCTCGCTTGCTCCCAGGACGCTCTGTGTGATGGAGGCGCGTCTGCCGTATGTGGTCGTGCGTTTTGCAGCTTCCCCTCAGGGCACCTAAATCCCCTTGCAGACATTGCAGCTAAACTGGAAACAATGAAACTTTCTTGAAGTTTTTTTTTTTTTTTTAAACATACTTACTATTTTGGCTGTTTTTGTTTTTGTTTGGTGGCAGATGTCCAACACCAAGGTGTGATGGAAGTGGTCATGTGACTGGTAATTACGCCTCACATAGAAGGTGTGACTTCATTTTTCTCATGGTGGATTCTGTCTTTTCAATTTATTGTTTTCAGCTTACCTCAACAATGCTGTCAAAGTACAAACGTCGAATTACGTGTCAACCCTCTCAGTGCTCTATGTTGACCTATAAAAGCATGCTGATGTACGTGTTGTATAGTGTCTTTTATATGCAAGGAAACTACCACGATTCGGAAAATTCCTCACCAACATTGAAACCAAAGAGTGCAAATATTTTTATGCTATTTTTCAAAAATTGTTTATTAACAGACACGTCTTCTTCAAAGAAGAGAGTTAATTATACAAAAAAAAAATTCAATATACAGCACTTGCCCCATCACTTTCTGCATTAAACTTTTTAGTTTCAGTTGTATGTTGTGTTTGTCCGGGAGCGTAAGCCGGTGGGGGCGGCACTCACCTGACTCTTCTGGCCTGTCTTACAGTCTGTCGGGCTGCCCCCTCGCCGACAGAAGCATTCGGAGCATGCTGGCCACCAGCTCGCAAGAACTCAAGTAAGATTTCATGACAATCGTTCTTCTAAAGATCTGTTCGCCTAGTAGTAACAAAATGGAGGTGTCGTGTGTAAACACAAGTGTCTTTAAGCAAACCCGCTGTGCACACAGTACCTCGGCAGCCCACACGCCCGGGTCCTCGGGACGTCAGTCACCCTTCCGGACAGTCTCTCTGCCTCTTCCCTCTCCTTTGTCTCTAGCGCTTTCATGCCATAGCCTTGCGATCCTGAATTTTCTAAAGCATCAGTAGTTTCTGTCCTCACACACATGCACACGGAAGGGAAGCCGGACAGAGGTACTCAAACTTTCAGGAAGTGATTGCAGCCTAAAAAGTAAAAAAATGTATTTTTTTTAGAAGTCAGTAGTTCGTATGACTATTTAAAATATGGGCATTTAAATAGCATTAATGACAAAAGCTCACCACGATGACAGCTAATTCCCTAAGCATGTTGCGGTCATAGTTGCAAATACTCTAGGACAGCACTGTGTCCCGTTCACTGGCTCACTGACGGGTACAGTCAGGCACCCACCAGCACTCAGACACTCTTCCCTCCAGCCACTGGCTCTCCCGCTCTCCTGTGCCTGTAACATTTTCTATATTTTAGGCATAAATCTGATCACTTACATTTATATCACCAGACTAAGGTTTTTCTTCTTTGTATATATAGAACCACACCCAGTTCCTACACGGGTTTGGGAAGGAGTCAGAACAAGTCCTAGAAAGTGCATGAAAGCCTTCGGTGCTCTAGTCGGAGGACATATAGGGTGTGTGTCAGGGAAGAAGGGTGAGACCTGAAAGTAGTTTCACAACAGAATGAGAACCAAGAGCCCCAAATAATTATTTTTTAATTACCCGACATGTTATAAATATCATCACGTCCAACTGCTTGGCTTCCATTTCGTTTGGAAACTGCTTTATTTCCAATGCAGAAAAAGTGCTCCTTGGAGACCCTATTTGATTCCTTTCCCAAGGATTCCACCCTACATCCCATCCCACTGCAATAGACCAGGGCTGTCTCAGAGTATAGGGCTCTGTTTCACATCGTGTCATTTTTTACAGGATCCCTGTCCAAGGCCCTAGTGCCATAGATCACCTGCTCATGTTCAGTGACCTCCTGAACTAGCCCTTGCATCACAAGACTCTTGGCATTTTCTTCATGGCGTGTAAACACCCGGAGGGCATCCTCTTACTTAACGGTTTTAAAGTCTATAGAGTCATCCACGCAGTGCCTAACGGACAAATAGCGTTTAGGACCTCAAAACGGACACTTAGCAAGAACAACTCAACCCACTTTGTTAAGACATCTTTTTTCATGGCTTAAAACCATACTTCCCTCATGATCAAAACGTGATTAACTGCACTTGGAACTTGGCCAACACATCAGACCGTGGCAACTTCCCTCTGAATTTCTTGATGAGGACTACTTTGCAAAAGTTTGGCACATATCCAGTTCCAACAGGCCAGCTGTAAACAAGAAATAGCCTTTGCATGACTGGTGTCTAGGACGGCTTCTCCCGGTTAGCGTCTCAACACCCCCAGAGACCAGAGTAGTTTTCTGAGGGGTCTCGTTGTTGCTGGTTTTCATCCCTTGACTCTGGGCTTAGAAGGTTATGTTGACCCGAAGTTCCGAGCAGAGCTGCCACTTCTCCGGTTCCGGCACTCTCTTCTTCTCTCCCTTCATCTTGGAAGATGGTGCGATGGTCCTCACCATCCGCATCTTCAGAGGGAGGTGGCTGGCCTTCACATCCTCCAGGGCAGTGCTGGGGAGGGGTCCATTCTCTGCATCCTGCCTCTTCCTGGATGGGAGACCTTATCTTCAGAGAGGAATGGCCTTTTCCTAATCGGGGTTGATTGAAAAGCCATACTCATTTGTCAACTTGTCTTTGCAAACAAGTAAATCCCATTTTGATTGATCCTTTCTGAGAAATCTAAACTTGACCAATTTTCTGAAATGGTCCATTGTTATTGGCAAAGCTTCGAAACTATGGGTTCCAATTAAATGTCTGCTATAAAAAGTCTAGTATTTAAATGACTGATTTTTACTTGCTAAGTCTTTCTAAACAGAGGAAACCATAGATTACAATATTTGTTTTCCTTTAACCTCTTAATTGATGAGACCCCTCTATTCAATACCTTTAACCTGAGTCATGGAGGCCTTGTAAGTGGTTTTTCCTGCATAGGAGCATAGGTTGAGCCCATGAAGCTGAGGTACAGCTGCTTTCTCTCGAGTAATCCCACACGTGCCCTTCTCAGTAGAGTGTTCTCAAAGTTTGGTCAATCCCTGCTACAGCAGACAGACAGAGTGAAATCACACTATTCACTGTAGGTGAAGAATCTCTACTTCTTCATAAAGACACACTAGACAGGGGGGCCCAATAACCTCCAAAAACAATCCTCTATTATGGAATTTTCTGGAAACATTCCTCTTGTCACATTTGACACTGAATTTCGATAGTTGGCCATTAGCGGGACATTCTTGATCATGGAAAGATGAGTTGTGCCAGATAAACTCTTGGTCTCGGATCCTCAAACCTCTTAAACTTCCTGAGATAACACTTTGCTCCGATCTTATCCAGGTCAACATATTTGGGATGTTCATAAAAAGAAGTGGGTAATTTTATGTCTAATGATGTACAATATGTAAACTGAAAATGTATTAAAATTTAATGTGTATATGAATGCCATTCAAACTCTGGAGCTACTGCCTTCCTGGCCCCTGGCCCATCTGCTGTAGACAACACGGTTCAGCGGCTCGTCCCGCGAAGCGGGACGCAGGGCAAGAAAGCCCATGCAGCGTGCAGACCCTTTCAGGTTGATGTGCCCTGTGTCACATACATGTCCCTGGAACCTTCCTCTCCCTTGCCCTGAGAATTCCCAGCCGTGACATTCACTGAGACCCCAGGCC